ATGAAAAAAAGGAAAATATGAAAAAAAAAAAAAAAATTTAAAAAGAAAGGAAGGAAAAATTATTAGAAAAGGGGTTGGGGGGGGGGGCGCTAATGTTTTACACGCCTCATGTGTTTGACCATTTGCCACGCGTCCTCGAGAGGACGGAGCATTGTACCCACTAGCCCGATCACCGATGGCCAATCCTTTCCCTCCTACTTTTCCGAAGGTGACTCAACATTGTTTTCCCTACCACGTAGTGGGAGGAGGGGTCTGAACTCGCTTACTTCGGAAACGATGCGGGGTCACGAAGATGATGTTATACCACTCTGGGCTGGTTAGCGTTTACACGTGTAGATTGTATCATGAACTGCACGACTCATATGCATAGACGGCATGGTAGTCGACATCCTGGAAGCTTGGTCGTCGAGACAAGCTCTTACTTCCGGTTGCACCTCGTCGTTTCTTGTTTCTGCATTGTCAATCTAGCGCATGGTGTGGTTTTATCACAAGCAGTAGATTAGTAGTAAATGTTTTTTGCTTCGCCTCGTCTGTTGCATTAGGTAATCGCGGTGCCAGAACGAGGTTTGCTATTAGAAAGTCAACACCAACAACAGATAGTTTTGTTTGAGAATAACGAATAACAACCACCGTAATAATCGCAGCAACCAAACAATAACTCTGCTCGCTTCTCGTCTCTGTCGCGTTTGTCTTTGCCCCCGTCCTGTGTGCAGGCGAGCGTGGTGATCCGGCTTGCTCTGGCTGAGACTTTCTGCGTCAGCTGCGGCATCCTTGCACTCGACGAGCCTACCACCAACCTCGACCACAACAACAAGGTGCGGGTCGCGGTGGAGGTGGTTGTAGTCGTTGTTGTTTTTTTCCCTTCGTGTGTCCGAGTGCATGGCATTGGTCGAGCGGTGTAGCTCAATACGGGATGATCCGCAGCCAGAAAGGCAATAACCGGCGCACAATGGAAAATAAAGCATCAACATGCTTGGCTTTGTCTGATCGCGGTGCAAGACGAACGCTCAGATTTTCAGTCTCGACTCCGTTACCACGCCGCCTCCCACTCGGTCAAGGAGCCCCCCCGCCTTCCATGTATGTATGTGTCCATGTCTTTGCCAAGGAAGTACGAAAGATATGTCCGGGATTGTTTTTTGCCGAGGTTCGTCGACGCTTGGCCTCTTGTCTCTGGTAGCTGTATGTATTAACTTCTGGGGATAAGACTTGGCACGTTGAGGGAGTTCACGGACAGTTTCCGTTTGTTCCTGGTGCAAGCACGATTCGCGTGCAAGTGTGTGCACGCGACGCCGACGACCAGCCCATGACAAATTCCCCCCCCCCCCCCCCCCTCGGTGTTTGCAATCGGGGTTGGGTTTTCGTCGCGTGGCAACGACGTTGTAAAACAAGCCGCCCCCCACGGTGTTTGCCATCGAGGTTAGGTTTTCGTCGCTTGGCAGCGATGTTGTAGAACAAGCCGATCACTTCGTGAGCTCAGCAAACAGGTTACCGCTTTTTTTTTGCCTTTTTTTTTTTTTGCGGTAACCATGAATGGTGGTCGAGTAGATCATGTTGTGCGGGGTCGAGAACCCTCACTCCGCGCAAAGGGGATAATCGCACGTTGTGTTGAATTGGTCAAGCATCATCCAGGCAGTTTCACAGCGCTTACAACTGTCTCTGGAAGTGAAAGCACCAGAAAATAATTTGGGTGATACGCAGCTGTCATCTGTACGCAAGGAAGTAAGCACAAGATGCCGAACACCCGTAGCAGGATGCAGCGCACCCTTCATGCGACTCGCCGAATACCTCACGGCGCTTCGCGCTTGGTGATGTGAGAGCCTGGTCCGGTGAGAACCCGGCGTGCTCCGTCCCGGCTTTGTAGGAATGCGAGGTCAATGGTCTAACGACTACGGCATGCACGACTATGAGTACACCCCCCCCCCCTGCTTTCACCTCGAGCGATTTCTTGAAGCATGACGTTTCGTGTCTCGTACACCGTCTGTCCGTCTGTTTCGGATCTTTTCGACGGACAAAAACGATGAAAATGAATCGAAATAATTGAGAAAAGGTGGGGCTGGCGCACGCGCTTGCCAAGATCATCAGCAGCCGGTCCAAGCAGGCCAACTTCCAGCTGATCACCATCACTCACGACGAGGTGCGGTGCCGGGAGAAGTGCAAGCCTTTCGATTGTTTGCCTCCTGTCTTTGTAATATTGTCTGTTGCGGCAAGTGCGAACTAGTCAACCTCTCATATTTTTCAGCCATGCAACAATGAGTGCAAAATCACAGTTGGTTTTTGCCACGAATGCATGCGAGCAAACGGGCAAGGGAAATCCCCCTTTTTTCCATTCCCTCGTTCGTGCGTTTGTTGTCGTCGCCGCGCTGTGTATGACTGGGCCATGAGAAAAAACTAGCAGGGGGTAGGCAGATGTTATGCATGCATACCCCAGAGGACGTTTCTCACGTCACCCCTCGAATGTGATAAGCCTGTTCCGGATGTCAAGCGTGGGGACTCACATGCTTACGCTTTTTCTACGAGAGAGTTTTCTCTGTAAAAGTAATGGTTGAGCTCAGCTCAAAATAGATGGGAATAAGACTCTTTTAAAGGATACGCGCGTGTGTAAGGCAAGTGGTGTCGGAGCGACCCGCGCAAGTCGAGATCTGCGCCCGTCGCCCAAAAGGAGTTGTGGAGAAGTCGACTGGCGGTTTAGCGGCGAGAGATCACGCCATCTTCTGACAGTCAGTGGTGTTTTTCCGTACTCTTGACAGGTTTGCGCGTTTCTCGTTCCAAAGAGTTGACGTACATTCGATTCATCCTACAGGTTGCATGTTTCTCGTTCACGAGTTGACGTACATTCGATCCATCCTTCCGTGGTTTGTGATGTGATTGAGCAGGAGTTCGTGCAGACGATGCGGACGGAGCTGGGAACGCAGGGCGGGTTCTCCATGCCGGAGTTCTACTGGAGGATTTCCAGGGAGGAGATGTCCAGGGGCAAGTTCTACAGCCGAATCGACCGCCTAGACTGGGAAGACATGTGATGTCATGTCGATAGTCCTTTGTCGTCTTCTGTGCGTGCGTGTGTCTCTCGTCCTGCTTGCTATGTGATGAAATTGGCCCATCATGTGGCGGCATCACGGGTGGCGTTTCTTCAGGTCATGTGACATCGTATTTTACCTCTCATGTCTTGTTGGTGGTGTGGTCCCGCCATACTTGACGATCGATGTGGGTGCATCATAGATCGGTAGTCCTGCCGTGATGAGGCATGACGACTGCTAGTGGTGAGGTTGGCCACAAACCTCCGAAGATGTTGCTTTGCTTAGAATGCCTTGTAGTGTATCCCGAAACATATAGCGCGAAAAATGGTGTATGTACCACGCAAGCGCTGGCCCGTCGAGAATCAAAGAGGGGGGGGGGGAGGATAGGGGCTAATTGTTCTCAATCAGAGTTCAGCGTTGTGGGTGAGAGAGGGGGGCAGAGCGGGATTGGTAGCACCCACCCACTCTAATGTTCTTTGTGCCGCCTTCCAGGTCATGCGAGACCGCTCATACATCTGTGCTGCTGTACTATTGGGAGTCGATAAGATGGAATCAGAATCTCAGTGCGGAAAAGAGTACCAGCCGCAGAGACCCACGTGACTCATGTATGTGTACCCCGTCGGCACTTGTCTCTTGGCAAAACACCATCGTCCCAAAAGAATGGAGAGGAGGACAGGGACAGCAAAGAGATGCAGGGTGTTCCTTGTAAGCAAAACGTGCTAGACAGACCTCGTCGGTCTGAGGATATGTGTAGGAGGTGATGCTTCGCGCGAACCCCGCTCTCGCTTCCATCCCCGACTAGGGAAGAATGCCTGCCTTGACTAAGAAACATAGGGCACGCTGGTCCATGCGGTTATAACGCTTGATCTCAGCTTGGGGGCACGTTTCGTATCAGTGGAGATAAAGGGACCACGGTACGTCGCTTTGTGTATGGCCGCGCACCAGCACCACGACCACTGCTCTTTACATGGCACTCATTCGTGGATGTGTTTACTTTATAGTCAAAGAAGGTCTGGCGAGCAATCTCTCCACTTCCCCTGTCCCGAACTCTCAACACGCAACCTCGCCGCCGTAGGGTACTCGTTCTCGGCTTAAGCGCTCTAGCTACGGGAGCAGTTGCAGGTGGTCGTGAGCAGTCCTTTCATGTCGTGAAACGGATTTTGTTTTTCAGCCGCCTTATGAGAGATCTTTTGCGACACACGCACGCGACACAAGCACACAACAAGCGGGGGCTTGCGCACAAAACGACCGCCTTCCCTCTCGACCACCTTCTAACAATCGCGTTTGTTTACGAGCCTCCCTCTCGCTATATTCTCGGAACCTTTCGCCTGTCTCGTAAGATGGTATGAGAGACCTTTTGCGACACACATACGCGACACAGCACACAACATCAACGAACTGTGCGCACTGGAGCACAAACTGTTCGTTAAGAGACAAAGCACCGGCGAAACAAGACCAGCAATGGCTTGTACGCATACACGAAGCACGCGAACATCTCCCAGAGAATGTGCTGGTCCACACTGCTGTTGCCCCAAGAGACTGGCCATTTTCCCTAACAACAGCAAGGACTAAATAACGACGCAATAAAACGGAGGCATACACTTCAATAAAACCAAACCAAAAACAAACTACGTGCATTTTGTACGTCCACCCAAAAACTTGAAAAGCAACAAAACCTAATCCGGGACTCATAACATACATGTAGTGCCGTCACCCGCTCTCCCTCCTCCTGAGTGAGTCAGTGACGTTTAGTGGCTAAGGTCCGCCCCGACAACCATATTTCGCAACCGTTTGGTCTGTCAGCCACTATGGAATACTCCCACACAAGCGCAACATATCCAACTCCTGTACCGAAACGAACAACCGCGCGCGATGCCTTCCCCTTCTTCCCTCGAACAATACGCCCGACGAGAAGAGTCCGGCACACGGATTACCGAGGATGTCGGCTGGCATGTGCGGGTCCTGACGCGAAGAAAATTTTGTCTTGAAGAAACCAGCCGGACCCACCGTTCAATGGCTAATACCTGTCGAGCCTGCTCCACGACAACAAGGACACTGTACCCTCCATCGCATGATATTGACGTAAAATATTTACCTACAACCAGAGCGCTCATGTCGCCTGCCTCACAACAAGGAACAAAATGTTGAAAATTAGCCAGAGCGCTCACCACGTCGGTCGCACACAGATGCACGGTTCTCCCCGGCGTCCGGCAAGGTCACCCTTACTACTGGTTGCGCTCGACACCTCCGTCTTCTGGGCGGGGCTCTTAAGAACCCACGCCAGGGCGGTGGTGGCGGGGCCGATAACGCTCTAGAGATCTTGCCGAGCGCACGCATACGTTGAAGACGAGGGTCGCAGCTCCTGTGGGCAACGGCCAATTGGTAGAGCATCAACATGGCCACGCAAACCTCGGAGGAATCGTTTCGTCGCCAGGGCCTTTTCAAAGAGGTGGCAACTAAAACCACGTGGGGAGCCTGGCGCTCGCTGTCGTGACCGGCGCATCCTCCGGAGCCACCGTTGCGCTGCTGCCGGTCGTAGTGCCGACGCTGCTGTCGGTGCTTCGGCTGGCGCTCCTTCTCCTGGTGCGGCTGTTGCTGCCGCTACGCGTGCTTGTGTCCTTGACTGCCTGCCGTCCACCATGACGAGCCTGGCGTTGGCCATCGTCGTCGCCTTTGTGCCACGCGTTTTTGCGGTGAGCGTCGCCGCCGGTGGAAAAGCTGGTGGCGTCGGCGTCGGCGATGGTGGTGTTGTTCAGAAGTTGCTGTTCGAGGAGGTCGCACCGGACCTTGAGGTCGTTCCTCTCTCCTATCGCTCTGTAAAATTTGGTGCGGAGGTCGGAGAGCGCCTGCTTGGTATCGTCCATCATCTGCGCGCGATTGCGGATGTTTGTCAGCGTCAGCGTGGAGAGTGTAAGGGGCAAACCACTACGTGGCCAATGGTGTCGGAGAGTGATACAGTGGTTTTGGTGCTACTACCACTGCTTCTGCTGCTACAAACAAAGCACGTGAAGACCTCTTGCGAACACACTCCATCCGGATGGATCCGTAGCAGCTCTGCGCATTGAGAGACCGTACGTCGCCGGCATTCGCGCGAGAACCTGTGGAATAACGGCAGAAGACGTCTACTGCTGTCATAATGTAAAACTCCAGGTGATGAGTTCCACGTACCTTATCGAGACCATTCCCATATTCTACAGGTTCCACCGCCTCGTGATGGGGGCTAGCATCTCTGAAGTTCCCACCGAAAGGGGCAGCAGATCCGTTTTCAGTAGCAGAATCGGTTTCTTCAGGCCCGTAGCCTGTGGAGGCGTGAGCTTGCTGCCGTCGGGTAACTTCCAGTTCGTACTCGAGCTCGTTTACGCGCTGGATGCCGCATGCCCAAACGACCTTGAGCTCCCCGTGTAGCCAGCTCGCGCGCTTCTCCGCTTGCGCCAGAGCATCTTCCAGCTGGCTGACCCGGCGATGGAAGGCTCGCTCCTTGTCGATGGCGGCTTCTTTCTCTCTCCGGCGGCGGGACGCGTTCTCAGCGGCTATGGCAGACGACGAGACCAGTTGTGCGACACGGCCTTGGGAGGCAACAAGGGCCGCTTCGAGCTGGGTGATCTTCGTTGCCATCCGTGCCTTTTCCTGCTGCTGCCGCACGCTAGCGGTGAAAACTGCTGCCGCCACATTGCTCCCCGCGTCGCGATGAGCTATGCTCTGAGGAGGCCCCTTCTTCGGTCTGGCGTAGTACCCACCAGCGTGGATGTCCGCTCCTTCTGGCTCAGCTTGGTTTTGTTGGTGGACTAGGCTGGTGGTGGCCAGAGTCTTTCGTGCTACTACGAAGGACTGCCACGGAATCTGCTCTCTATCATACTCCCCGCGGTCTTCTCCGGTGGTTTGATCGTCGTCGGAAACGGGGTTGTAATGATACGGAAGCGGAGCGAGATCACCCTCCGCCTCGTCTGAGCTGATGCTCGTAGGTTTAATCTCAAGGCGCCCTCGGTGGTAGGGAGCGGAGTTCTTGGTTCGGGGGGACAAGGGTTGTGGTGGTTGCGGCGGCGAAGTAGTCGGATGCTCGCTGGAGCTCGCCTCAAGCTCTGCGATACGACGAGCTACCAAGCTGGTCATGTTTTTGGCTGCCGACGATATGTAGATACCAATCTTGGAAGAAGAGCTTTTCGTCCTCTACCTGGGCACGTGCGATGCAGCCGGGAGCTCGGCAGGTACAATGGGTAGTGTCGATTGATGTAATCCTACTGCCGTGCGACAGGGCTACAAGTCAAAATATACATACAATCTTTGTAACGGGTGTGCTCGGTGAACTGCTGTGGAAGAGGCGCCGCAGGGTTACAGATATCCAAACTCTCACGTGTATCCCAGGCGATGTTACCCTCTCCATCAACCTCGTTTCTCCCTCTTACCTTGCACTCCCGCGAGTGCGTGGTGTGTGCTGGCGCGACTGTGCTGTAGGATGACCCAACTCACGTGGTCGTGTCGTTTGTTTGCATTGCGCAGGTGGTCGTCGCAGTGGTTGTACAGCAGTAGTGTAGCATGATCCTGGGGGATACGTCGAGGTAGAAAACTTTGGGCATACGTGGGGAGTACATGAGCCTCAGAACCAACGCGTACCCCCTCCGTCGTCGTTGCAGTTGTGGGCTCCACGAGCAATTGTTCTGGCATACGCGTACAGTAAAGTACACACGCGAAGGGCAGGGATGACTCGCTCCAAGCAAGAGGGATGCTCTCCCTGGCCTCGAGCACGAAAAATGGGGCCGTTCGCCTTGGTTCTGCACACCCTCGCTCTCCAACTCTTGTGTTCGTTAGGATCATCCAGCAGCAGCAGCAGCAGCAGCGGCAGCAGCAGCAGCAGCAGTGGCCTCTACCTCCCTGCTGGCGTCAGGGGCGGCGTCACGCCCGCGATCGAAGAGACCCACCGCAGCAGACAGGAGGAGCAAGATGGCGGGCAGGGGAATAGCACCATCCCGGCCAGCGCGGTGGTGATCGACGCGAACGACATCATCGACGAGATGGCCCAAGCCTCTCGCCAGCGCAGTGGGACGGACGCCCACGAGCAGGTGTTCAAACAGACCCATGTCTACCGATCCCCGGTGTACCACAGGAGCAAGCGCACGATGAGGTGAGGAGAGAGGAATGGCATGATGCGGGAGATTGGGGATGCTGTTTCCGATGACGGCTGCTCGGGGGGGGCAAGCATGAGAGAAGTTTGGTGTTTCCTTGGTGAGCTGATCGCTGGCGTAACTCGAATGTCAAGTCTACTCTTCATTGGCCATACTGCTGTTCATCCATGATGTGCATGCATGCTGCTGTTTGGAGGGATACCCCTACTTTCGTGAATCAGAGGCCAGGATAGATTTGCGACCTTTTCTGTACACCACGGAACCTACGGCTGTGCTATCAAACGTACATAGAGCCACGCAGACGTCAAAGCTCGACGGCAGTTATAGCAGGAATGCTGCTGCTTCTGCGCTCCCTCTTTGCCCGTCGAAGCGAACGAAACGAGGGCTGCTAAATCGGCACACAGCAGTGTAGGAGAGTGTCGTGCGATTGATTTCAAGTTAACAGCTGAGGTTGCCTGCGCTCGATTTCACGAAGACACCACGCGGCACTCGCGGGGTTGCGACAAGCCGAAAGTTCGCCTTCGTCGATTATACGTGTCGGCGCAGGTGGCGCCAACATTTTCGAATTTGAAAGTTAACGACGTGGTGGCGCCATCGGTTATACAGCGTATGTACCAGGTTAAATGTCATTCGGAATTTATTCCGCCAGCTTGGATCTCTGTGAGCGACGACTTTTTCTTGTTTTTTGTGCAGGATTTGTTTCTGCTCGCGAGCAAAATCTACTGATCGCGATGACGGTACAAAGCGTGCCACGTTTTTAGCGCTACAGCAGGCGTGAATCTTGTTGTTTTCTTCTGTCCCATCATGTGGGTATGTTCGGGCTTGGAAAACGCAATCTGCGGTGCCCCTGCATTCGAATCCCGATTCCCTCCCGAGAGCAGGCGTGTCGACGCTGCGTCCCGTCGTCGATGTTGGAGTCGAGTGTGGCTGCACGAACAAGCGGGTCCTGTTTTGATATAATGCTAAGGCGGGGATTTAACCTCTCGACCTTGACCTTGACCGTCCGCTACCGGCAGTTACGGGGATACTCGAGGACCACGATGGTGATAGGAACACCGAAGTACCGACAGTAGCAACGACAGACACAATACACTTTGACGACTATGCACACGCTACAATCAAACAGCTCCACCGCGCACGTAAAACCAGCGGGTGAGAGATTTCGGCCTCGCACAAACCGTTTTTGTTCGTATACGCAGCCATCAGCAGAAAAAGAAAAATGTATCCTTGAGGTGAGGATCTGCTCGCGGTGAATTGGCTAACATATGATACAGTAGCCTTAACCTTCTATTTAGGCGCTAAACTTGCACGCCACTATCGAACCACCCTCTCTCACGAACTCCACCCCGCTTGCCGTCAACCCCTCCTGATGAGCCAGCAAAGGTAACAACTTGACTCCCCAAACTCTCCATGTACGCTCCTCGTCGTGCAATTCCCACCGCTCTCCCCGCCCCTCGTCCACCGCAGCAGCAGCGGTAGATCACGTCTGGGGCGCGAGGGGGACAGCCTCCTGCGGTCCCTCAAGACTGTCACCACCCGCACGACTAACGGCTTGGCACGAGCGGTGAACGTCACGGGGACGGCAGCGTCGGTGGTTGCGGGAGGAGCTTTCAAGCTGGCAGGAGCAGCAGTTCTCGATGCCGTCGGTAAGAACGTGCAGGGGGGGGGGGGGAGGGGGTGGCTACCCGCTACATCATACATTGTACTGCTGTTGGGTGGCCTTGGATCGTCACACGCCTATTTGGAAGCCCGTGATGTCGAAGGGGAAACGGAAACGCATTTTGCGGCCAATCCCTCCAGATGTGTCCAGCGAGATTATTTCGGCTCCTGTTTGTTTTTATTATTTGCTGCCTTGGAGATCCCGATGCCCCCACCCCAGCCTTGATGTTGAACTAATTAGTACGCCAACCCCTCACCCCCCTTTCCACCTCCATGCTTGACATCTGCTGCCGCTGCTACCCTTACGCCGCCGCTCACCCCCGCAGATGGGATTGAGTACGTCTCGTCCAAGTCCCCGAGGGATGTTCCCGGCGTTACAGGCGAGCAAACCAGGATGGGGGGGGGGGGGTGTGATCAGCAGGGATGGATAGTTTTCCACAGGGAAGGAAACACACGCAGCAGTGGTAGACACTACATGGTGTATTTCGACATGCCGCCAGCGATACGTCTGCCGGTGATACCGATCACCGTCATCAATCAAATGACCGGTAACCTTTCGTTGCTGCCACTAATAGATTCCTTTGTCCTGCTCCTCCCGAGCGACTTGGATGCTTCCCTCAGCCCGTACTAAATATATACAGCTTTTCCCGCCCGACGTTCCCAAGTCTTTCCCTCGACAGCGCTCATGAGCTAGTTGCCCCCACCCGCTCTAGCCTCCCTTGAATCCACGCACCGCAACAGTAGCGTCCCCCGTGCCCATGTAGTCAATTCCACCCCCGTGGTAGCTCTTCCATCTCGGTCGTCTTGCCCTAGCGGTCTTCTTTCGCGACCCGAACACCAGCGTGCCCGACACGTCGATGCCAACACCCTGCCCCATGCCCTCTGTTTTGCGGCCCGATGTCTATCGTTACGTTCTCGCAAAAAAAAAAACGACCGCCGCCCGTGATCATCACAGACACTTGGCGTTTCGTGGCGAAAGGGCTGAGGAAGACGGCGGAGACTGTGTACGACTTCGGAGTTGCGGCGGAAAACGTGACTGCAGAAGCCACCGAGGTGGGTGTGACTGTGACAGTGGATCGAGCCACAGATGAACAGGCAGACGCCTCTAGACACGTGGGTGGCGAGGGGGAAGGGGGGGGGGGGGGTACTCTTATGTTTTGCATTCCTTAGCGGTTAGCCCATTGACCACGCGTCCTCGAGAGGGCGGAACATTGTTCCCACAGAACCGATCACCGATTGCCAATCGTTCCTTCCTACTTTGCCAATGGTGGCTCAAGAATGTTTCCGATCCAGCCTATACCACATGAGGGGGGGAGGGGAAGTAGCTTTCTATGTGGGTAGTTCCTGCTCGAGTATGCGGGTTTTCTCGTGTGAAAACGGCAGTACCATAAATAGTTGGTCTGTCGGTACTCCGTTGTGTTTGTGCAGTGTATCGTTAGGTCGTTAGGATGATGGGGCTCCCACCACCGACAATGGGCGTAGGGTTATTGTTCCGGCGTTATAATGATTCGATCGAGGGTCTAGACCAAGGCAGCGGGTGTACATTAGGGCAAGCAGCACAACCCCCCCCCCCCAGTGTTTACCATCGGGGTTTGGGTTTTCGTCGCTTGGCAACGACGTTGTAAAACAAGCCCCCCCCTCGGTGTTTGCCATCGGGATTGGGTTTTCGTCGCTTGGCAACGACGTTGTAAAACAAGCCAATTCACTTCGTGAACTCGGCAACCAGGTTACCGGTTTTTTTTTTTCTACGTCGTTTTTTTTTTGGCGGTAACCATAATGGTGGTCGAGTAGATCATGTTGTGCGGGGTGGAGAACCCTCACTCCGCGCAACGGGGGATGATCGCACCACGTTGTGTTAAAATGGTCAAGCACCCTCGAGGCAGTTACACAGTGCTTACAACTGTCTCTGGAAGTGAAAGCACCAGAAAATAAATTAAGTCATACGGAGCTGTCATCCGTACGCAAGGAAGTAAGCACAAGATGCCGAACACCCTTAGCAGGATGCAGCTCACCCTTCATGCGACTCGCCAAATACCTCACGGTGCTTCGCGCTTGGTGATGTGAGAGCCTGGTCCGGTGAGAACCCGGCGTGCTCCGTCCCGGCTTTGTAGGGATGCGAGGTCAATGGTCTAATGACTACGGCATGCACGACTATGAGTACACCCCCCCCCCCCCACCCCCCCTAACAGTGGTCTTGGGGAAAAAACAAACCCCCAAAACTGAAACCTTTCTACTGGCCCTCCGGGGTTGCCGTACGGCATCTATGTGCTTCTGCTTGCATCCCCACGCCCAAGGTTGCCAAAGAAACGAAACTGTCGGGCGTGGGGAGCGTAATCCACCCACCCTCCTCCGGGAGCGACGCCCAAACGCGCGGTTACTTTTCCGAGGAGGAGGAGCGAATCATAAACAACATGGTGTTCGGGATGCCCTCGGCAGCCGGCGGCGGCGGCGAGACAACGGGGGCAGTAGACGGCGGCGGCGGCGGCGGGCATGCCTCAGGCGGGAGTAACATGGGGTACTCGGAGGGCGATCTCGCGACGCACTTCGGCAGAGATGCTCGTCGCGGCCACCACCACCACCACCACCACCACCACCACCACCACCACGACGACGATAGCGGCAGGCCTTACGGCCACCAGCAGCACCAGTGGCAGCAGGCCCTGTTGACCAGCGGACCGGGGGGGCTTAGGCACCGACAGCCGAGGCTGCTGGCCCTCGCCGCCCGCGCGCGGTACGCCATCCGGCTGTCCATCATGAGGACGAGCAAGGCCGTGCCGACGATGAGGTTTCCGCAGATGGTGGCGTGCGGGATGGTTTTCGCGTGCCGGGCGGTGACGAAGAACCCGTGGTGCGGGGCCGCCAGCTTCGTGGGAGCCAGGTGTGAAGAGAGGTGTTTTGGATTGGGTTGGATTGCGTTGGGCGGCTGCTGTGCTTGCTGTCTGCGGGTGTATGAGATTGGATTGGGCGGCTGCTGTGCTTGCTATCTACCGGTGTATGGGATTGGATTGGGCGGCGGATGTGCTTGCTATATCTGCGGCTATTAACAAGTCTTGTTTTTTCTTGTGGGGGCTGCACTGCAGAGAGTGCGTCGGTCGTACGATCGGAGGCTGTTGGGCGTGTTGTCGAAGCTGTCCGTGGTTGGAGAAGCGGAGGGTTGGGATGCTGCTGATGGCGGTTTGGTTCTTCGTACACTTGTACACTTGCGCAAGGACGTGGGGGGATACTTGCTGGGTGCAAGGAAGCCAGGGACTGTTTTCATGCCGGGGTTGACTCGTGGTAGCTTTGAAGGGGAGGCGGGGGCGGCCCCGAGGATTTAATCTTCGATGAACGCTTGCCGCGTTCCCGGAAAGATGATGCCTTCATGCCCGTCCGTTCTTTCGAGACGCCGTCGTTGTCGAACGAGTTCCTCCTCGCTGTCTCACGAAAGGTTGGGTGTCTGCCAGCGGACTGTGAAATGTGGCGGGAGTTCTCGTGTTGTTGGCATTGTGTCGTCTTATGCGCCCCATTAGTTTCTTTGCGGTGTACGAGAGTTTCGCCCGGACAAGAGTGGAACGGCGGTAGTTCCTGCCACTGCCAATGTTGGAAGAAACGATGATTGTCGGCGCCGTCGGCGCCGAAAACTCATCAGGAACAAGCGAGATGAAGGTGGTCAAGGGGGGTCCGCCGCTCCTGACTGACGCGGTTGCGCTCGCACTACGTTTTTTCCCTTTTTTTGCGTGGCGCTGCAGGATGTACCTCAAGTTTGTGGAGTCGATCTACCTGGAGTGCTTGAAGGAGCGCATGACCTCAGACATTAAGTTCGAGGCCGTAGCCAGGTGAGCGAGAGAGAGAAGCAATCAGCAAGGAGCCCTCGACACACAAGAGCCTGTGCGGTATCTAGATTAGGTCCGTCGAGAGCGGGGGTCGAAGGGGCAGTTTCCAAACGCGAGAGAACATGCGTGTAATGAATAGTAGGAAAAGGAAAGAGTCCTTGAGAGAGGTAGTGTTTTGCGTGGGAAATGCCTTGTTTTGGTTCGCAGGGAGGAGGAACCGGACATACGGCCTCAAGTTACGATTCGGTGGTAAAGGGGGCCGAAGATCGACGCCGCGCGCTGTTGTCGATTGTAAAGTCAGCGCCTTTGATGATCGGTGTACAGCTCCAATTCTGATGTGACCAACCGGAGAGTTTGGACGGCTCTGAACGCAAACGTTGGCGGGGCCTGGTGTTTCCCTTTCTTTTCCATCAGGTTGGTTAGGTGTTTTGTCATTTCTCAGCTGTCGCGTGTGGACAACAAATGCGCAGCATGGTTTCTGGTCTGGTGTAGCGTAACAACGCCTCGTTGCCAACCAACGTTCTGTTGCATCTGTGTCCTTCGTAATCTGCACCCCTCCCCGCGCCCGCCGAAGGCTGCACGAGGGCTCCCCTGAAAGAGCTAGGTGGTTCAACACGGCTGTGGCGGCGATGTGGGTGCCCATGCTCGAGGTGAGATCCACGGCACATTTTACATGACCAGGGCGTGCTCTCCCTGCCATGTGTTGGACGAACATCATGTTGAGAATGAAACCAGGGCATGCTCTCCTACCATGTGTTCGGCGAACATCTATGGGCGGGTTTTAGTCTCAACCGACGCACGATCCTCCACGCTGCTGCGAGGAGTTCCAAGACATGCACCTCCTTGGGCCTCGTGGTTAGGGGGGAGTAGAGGACTTTTCCCCCTTTTCCCCCTTTTTGATGAGCTGCGCTTTTTTCCAAAGCAAAGCATTTGCTGCGTAGCTCGCAGGAACCTGGAGGACAACAAAGGCACTGTATATTTATGTTGATTCGTTTCTTGGGTTTGTTAGGGCATCATCTTCTCTCTCTGTTTGTGTCGCGCTCTCTCTACCTCTTGATTTATTTGTATTCATTTTATCGCGAACTCCTCGCCACGTGTTTTCACGGAGAGAATAGTATGCATGGGATCGAGTCACCATAATGCTAATATTGTCGATAGCAACCGATGACTCCTTTCACCAGCTCGCACGACCAAGACAAGCATGGGTATAACAAAGATACTTTGCTGTTCTTGTGTTGCGAAATGGCAGCCGCTCTTGTCAGGGTGGACCTCGCGGCAGATCACGAGGGGCATCGAGAGGAGCCTGCCGAGCAACGTCTCGTGGGTGGGCCTGGGCAAGGTGACGCTCGGCCCGACACCCCCCAAGATAAGGTGTGGTATATCGAGAGGTTGTTTGTTATTGTTGTTGTTGTTGTTGTTGTTGTTGTTGTTGTTGTGAGTGGAGGAGGTGGGGGCATTCGCACCACAAATTCCGGTCGCCTTTCTTCGGTGGCACAACGAATATTGCTGCAATTCTGCCGGTGTGTAGCCGTGGCGGATGCTGGCTAGTGAAACAACCATAGCAAACCACCTGTAAGCACGACGTTTTTACGAACACCATAAACAACAGCATTTTTGCCACGTATGGAACTGCTGTGAAAAACGAACAACCAACAGGTACGTGCAGGTCCAGAACGTGACCTCGCTCGCACAACGGCGGAACATGGGCACGTCCAACGGCATCATCGATAGCGTGCTGCTCGAAGCCGGCCAGCCAGGCGGAGACATCGCCGGAGAGAACATCGTCTACCTCGAGGTTGGCGTTGATTGGACCAGCTCGCGCTCAAAGGTGAGAGCGGGGGGGGGGTGTACTCATAGTCGTGCATGCCGTAGTCGTTTGACCATTGACCTCGCATCCCTACAAAGCCGGGACGGAGCACGCCGGGTTCTCACCGGACCAGGCTCTCACATCACCAAGCGCGAAGCGCCGTGAGGTATTTGGCGAGTCGCATGAAGGGTGAGCTGCATCCTGCTAAGGGTGTTCGGCATCTTGTGCTTACTTCCTTGCGTACGGATGACAGCTCCGTATGACTTAATTTATTTTCTGGTGCTTTCACTTCCAGAGACAGTTGTAAGCACTGTGTAACTGCCTCGAGGGTGCTTGACCATTTTAACACAACGTGGTGCGATCATCCCCCGTTGCGCGGAGTGAGGGTCCTCCACCCCGCACAACATGATCTACTCGACCACCATTATGGTTACCGCCAAAAAAAAAAAACCGAGGTAAAAAAAAAGAACCGGTAACCTGGTTGCCGAGTTCACGAAGTGAATTGGCTTGTTTTACAACGTCGTTGCCAAGCGACGAAAACCCAATCCCGATGGCAAACACCGAGCGGGGGGCTCGTTTTACAACGTCGTTGCCAAGCGACGAAAACCCAACCCCGATGGTAAACACCGGGGCGGGCGGCTTGTTTTACAACGTCGTTGCCAAGCGACGAAAACCCAAACCCCGATGGCAAACAAGGCCGAGGGGGGGGGGGGGGGGGGGGAAAGGTTTTTTTTTTTTTTTTTGGGAAAAACCTGTTTAAATTTGGGGGGGTCCCCCCCCCCCCCTGGGAATTCCCCCCTTTTAATGCAAAATTTTTTTGGGCTGGGCTCCCCCCCTCATGGAAAACGGCCCAAAAAATCCGGGGTTGGGTTTTTTTCAAAATTTTTTTTTGCCCCAAAGGAAACCCCCCACCTTTTCCCCCCCCTCAAAAAAACCCCCTACCTGTTTCAGGGGGACAAAACCCTAAAAAAAAAATTTTTTTTTGTTTTTCCGGAAAAAGGGGGAAACCGTTTAAAACTTTTTTTTGTTTTTTCCGAGGAAGGGGGGGAAAAACCAGGGGAAGAAAACCCCCCCCCCCCCTTGCCCCCCCAGGTTTTCCCCAAGCTTGGGGAGCAACCCCCCCCTCCCAACTGGGGGG